TTGGTACTGACCAGCTGTAGTGGAAGGGGACAAGCTAAACCAGTAAGATATAAGAAGGGGGAATGATCCACTTTCCTTTTTTTTCCTGTCTATTCTGCATCAAAAGCAAATGAACAGTTTCTTACACTGACTTAAAGACATCAAGGAAAACTGATTTTTCATGCACTAGAAGGAAAATGGATGCTAACTGTGGCTACAGTTGGGTGGCTTCTATTCCTGTATGGGTTAATGGCTTGAATCCATAGCTGCTATGCTCAGCTTTACTAATCAGGTTTCTTTCCTTTAGAATTGTTGTGAGGAGAAGCCACTCACCTTAGCAAGAATACATTTGTCCCAAAGGATTTATGGTGAAAAAGGAAACTTGCTGAATTCAAAGTCAGTATTTGGTATTATCAATATAGCCACTTACTCAATAATGTCTGACTCCAAGACAAACAAGTCTGAAATGTTGATAGTAATCAGTGTTTTAAAGATTATAATCTCTCTTTTAAAAGGAAGGGTGTCAGCTCTTTTCTTAAGAATAGGATGGTAGTGTAGAGCCAAAGCATTAACTCCTATTACAGGAAAAGATTCCTTAGACTGTGTACATAAAATAGCCAAAAGTTTTGATATATTCTTCCTTTCTTATGATCTGTCCTTATGGTCCAGGTATGTTTTTTGATAAGTACTACACAAATATAAAATAAATTAATAGTCTATTTTCCAAAATATCCACCTTATTTGCAGTCTCAAGGGTTTGAATAAGAAGCTAGATCTGCCTTTATTCTTTTAAGTTCTGTGCTTCTGGCTCAGGAATTTGTTGGAAATTAATTTAGCAATAACTTAATGTCATTTTCTGAGAGAAAACGAAGTTATTGTGCCTTTGGCAAAAAAACCCACCATAAACGACCCCCATCTCCCCAACAAAACAACGCAAACATCAAACAATATGGATTTTTCTTTTCTTTTGGTATGTGTATGTTTGCTGCAAGAAGAAATCGGCCACATAAGAAGGCAGTGAAGCTAATTAGACACAAAAATCCCACCAGATGTGGAAAACAAAGATAATTTATTTTGTCATGTATGTTTTAATAGCTCAAGGTGATACGTGTAACTAGAGGAAACTGCAAGTGTGATTTCTGTCTTCAAATAAATGTTATTTCTTTAAATCTGTGATTTTGAAAATATTAAAGATCACAAAGAATGCTGTCTTTATGGAGATATGACAGCTCAATTTGTGCATTGAAGAAAAATAACACTATTTTATTGCTTACAGTCTGTTCTGTGTGGCTTAGAAACAGGTATGTACAAATAGAAAGTTTTTTAAAAATCCAATTTCCAATATGTGATTGCTAAAATAAACTAAAAGTGGCATACTTTCTTTACATACCTAGAACTTGTGTTGCACCGTCCTTCTTTTAATTTTCTTTCTCTTTCTTGCTCTCTCCCTAATAAAACAGATTCCAGTTTTAAATTTGTCTTCCGCATCTCAATGCTCCCAGGAACTTGCCTCCTTTCTCAGATGGATTTCTAGTTGCCTCCCAGCTTCTCCCTGACAAACTCTCAGGATAAAGGGCATTGCTCAGTCCTGCAGGAGAGGAGGAGCTCCGTGTTTGTTGCATAACTTCTGTTCCATCCAAAGGAACACTGGAACTCTGACAGGTTTTTTTGGCGCATTGTGTTGCCAGAGACACAGGATTAGTTCATGAGTCCCAGGGCTATTGCATTTTGCAAAGTATGCATTTTGCATACTTTTTAAAAGCATGGCTTGGTTTCTTTTACAAGAAATGTTTTCATCTTACGTATAATGAGAGAGATATGTATATACTGGTACAGAAGACATCCCACAAACATGTGATCTACAAACTTATGCTAGTATTATGACTTGATCTGCTTATATCTCCTTTGAATTTTATCAGTCACTGCAGCTTGAGACAAATAGTTTTCATCTAGCTAAACAAGAAAGCGAGTAAATATCAGGTTCTTCACTCTGTGATTTCTAGAGAGATTTTTCTGGGTGCGTGGGAGAAGAATGGCTTTGTTATTCATAAATTGATACTGAAATTCAGAATTCAAAGTGTGTTTTCCCCCCCCCCCCCGCTTTGTTTTTTTTCCCCCAACACCAGGTAAACATACAATCCAGAGACTGATGGACAGATGGGGATATGTTATCAGGCTGTTTTAATTCCTGGCTATATTTCTTCACAAGGTTCTGCTCCTGAGCTGAGAAAGTGGTACAGAATTGCAGCAGCAGATCTTCATAATCTCAGTGCTGTATTGGTTGAAAAAGAAGTTGAAACACAGTTTCAGTCCTATTTCATGAGTATAAGTTGGGGCCTCAGCACGGATGGTAGGTTTGTTGTCAGTGTGGCTGGTGGGGATCCTAAGGAGAATAAGAAATTAACTGCAGAGGGTAATGCTAGAAATGTGACATGAGCAAATAAAAGGTACCCTACTGCCTTTCAGTTTAACTGCCAAGGTTTAAGATAGATGCATGTTCTAAAGAGATTGGTTTGTATGAAACAACATGCTTCCAAATCAATAGAGGTGTTTTCTCCTGGGTTGACCAATCTATTATCTGACTCTGTGGCTCTGGATGCATCGTTGCAGTGAATACAGCTGGCCCCTCTAAGGAGCAAATACATGTTCAGTAAAACTTTTGATTTATTAATGACATGGTTGCAGTCATAAATATACAAGAAACTATGCTGTTGGGAACCATGGACAGGCCAGGGCTTGTAGCCACAAATACTACGTTGAGAAAAAATAGCCAAGCTTTTGGGCACCAACCTTTCTTTATGTTAGAAACAAAAGCAGTGGATGTCAAAGCTAAATACAAGCTGGGAAAATTGTTTGGAGTCTAGGGAGGAGTGTGTCTTACTGATACTCTCACAAAAGACAAGGCAGGTGTTATTTGTGGAGGGCAGGGGACATAAAGGTAGCTTATAGCCTGTGGACATGGAGAGGGTGAGAAATTATAATATCCTCTAAAACTTCAGAGTCCATTTTTCCCCAGCAGAATTATGAATTCTGGTTCCCAGATCTGGGACCACACTTGTTAGAACATATTTTATATAGGATTTTCTGCCTTCAATGGGATGTTTTTAGGTCTGCAATGAAAAGACTGAAAATCACTTTATTAGAGCAGCTAGAACTGACACGAGTACAAAGACATAATGGAAGTATACCTTTGAGTGGAGAGCTGAAATGCAGGGGGTATTACTTAGATGTTTTATGTTTTCATATCTTGGACATTTTTTGCTTTAGAGAGTGATGAGCATGGCATGAACTGGATAAAACAAATTGCGAAAGGTATTGCAGTGTCTGGTGTTAGTTCTGTAAACAGGCCAAAGGAAAGTACATGGCAAATTTGAAAATTACTGTGTTTTATTCAGAGAAACATTTGTCACAGAAGCTTTCTTTGTTTAATATTCTATCATGTGAAACAACTTTTATTTTTTTTATTGATCAGCAGATGTTGTCTTTACTTCTAGCCAGCATCAAAGAACTGACAGCCACAAAGATTTATGTGACCAGCAACGGAATTCTTGAACGTTTTCAGTGTATTCAATGCAATTACACAGAAAAGTTTGAAAGACAAACTGCAGTCCGTAATCAAAGAGTAAGAATATTTTTAAGTAGTTGTTTTCTTCATTTATTTTAGTTTGGTAAGAAGAAGGTGGGGAATAGGGTGTAACATTGAAAAGTATAGAGTAAAAATTTCCCCTCTGCTGAAGTTAGTAAAAAGGGACCTGAGAAAGAAAAAATAGTAGTTTCATACTTCTTTCAGATGTTTAATGAAAGAGGGATTTGAGCCCTGTGTTTTGGGAGACTGAGAATAAAGCTATGGGAAAATTAGCCATCTCTTTTCCATAACTTCATCTCTCCTGTTCTCAAATGGATGCTTAAAGCCAGGGTAACACAAGCCAGAAATACATGATCTGTCATTGGATTATCTGGGACAGAGGATGGTGTGATAGGGGACAACTCGCCTTCATTGGGGGCTAAAATTTTAATTATTTCATATTGGCTGCAAGCTATAGGTGTGCATATACATAATAACGAAATTGACACTCAATCTCTTGTTCCTGTCCGGAACTCCAAGTTTGGAATTCTCTTTTCCTAGAAATCTATTTTTGTCCTTTTTAAGTGCACTTTTAAATTAACTGTTAGCAGTTACTAATCTGTATAAATTCTCTTCTGTTAAACTTGGTCCCATTAGGATTGTATATATCTGTTTTTGTATTAAGTCCTTGAAGTGAACTTTTCTTCATTTTTATTTTAGTGGCAGTTCCATTATATTGGATTCCCTGTAGAACTGGAAACAAAATATTTCATCCATGCTTACAATCTACCCCCAGCAAATACAAAAGAGGATTTTCCATCAAAATCCGTTTTGCTAACTACACCGGGTAATTTATCTAGCATTCACTGCTAAATGATACTACTGGTTTTTTCCATCCATGTTATTGCACAGGTTTCCTTAACAAGGCCAGAAAAGGCTTCTGTTTTCAATGTGTTTTGAAATCTGTCTAGCACCCTAAAGACACACAGTCATCAAAGCTGCAAACTCAGAGGCAGCCAGCTCTTTAACAGTGGTTTGTTGTTTGGCTTTTTTCCCATGCTTGTTTTGTTTCTGTGTTTGCTTGCCATTTATCTTTGAACAACAGAGAAATGGATATTGTTTTTCAAAGGAAAAAAATATTTTCTGCTGTCAATTTTAAAAGAATTTACACTTTTAGCTAGACAGTTTGTCAATGTTGTTCTTAATAAACATTAATCAGGAATATTATTATTTGTCTAAAATTGTAAGGCAGCCTATAAGTTTAGAGGTGCTTTAAAGAAGAACATGTTGTTCTGGTCATTTTGCTCGATGACTGTAGAACACCAGTTCTCCACACAAAGACAAGCACCAGCTCGATGCTTGTTCTCTGGGACACCTATCCACCAGGAGAGCGGGTGTCCTCCTTAGTAATGAGAAGGCAGCCATATTCATTATAACTCCCTTAAATATTTGACTTCTTGGGTCAGGATCAAGGCATTGCTGCTGTGTACATGGTACTTTTCCATACAGAGGACATTCCCCAACTAGATGGGGTTAACTACAGTTTGAAATACGTCATGCCTATTTATTTTCTTTCTTGTTTTGACTTGTGGTGTTGGCAGATAGAGAGAAAATATGCAGAGCAGCCTGATAATGGGATGCTTTTCTTTTGGTTTCTTTTACTCTGCAGTAAGATAATCACTGGTAAACAAGCTTTTGTTGCCATGAGAAAGACCACTGGGATTTTTTTACTTAATACCTAGTCATCACTATCACATTTTAGGCAGCTGTCTATGAAGATTATGTAAGTGGAGTGTGTTTTGTGTGAGTGCATGTGTATGTTTGAGGAGATGGTGATAGAAAATTAGACAAAAAACACTGTTCATGGAGCAGGAGTCACATAGGCTATTTTGAATTGTCCTTTCTAAAATATATTGTACTTGGGGATTCATTTATGCATATTCTAATAGACTTTAGTGAAAATGCACACAGATCATGCATTTGCTAAAATTTTAAATATCCATTTAAATTCACAGGCTGTAAAGATAATGTAATGAAATACAGCAAAAGCTGTATTGAAATGGGTAAGTGCTATGTACACATATAGACATCATACTGAAGGGGGAAAAATAACTCTTCAAAAGTGTTTCACAATATCATCTTTGCTGGAGTATTGAATAGGGTCTAAGACCTACTTCTGAATTTTTTCCTATATCATACTCATGGCCTTAAAATGGGAACTTTGAGAATTCTCTACAGTTTAATTTAGATAATAATGCCATATTTTAATCAGTGAATATGGGATTGAGAAGTTTTCTTGGTTTCTCTGAGATTATGAATTTAGTCTAGTTACTGGTTGGTATACTATGACATGAACAAAAGTACCTTCTTTAGACCAAACAAAATTCCTTGCCGATTTGGGCATGCAGATGTGTCATTAATACTAAATATTACTGTTTCTACATCTGTTGGAGGTTTAATGGGCTAGATACTTTTACCACACGCATTTTCAAGCAACAGTGCCTGAATTCAAACAACTGCAGGGAGTCCCTGTTGTAACTAACACTTCTGACTTGCCCCTTCAAAGCACAAACACTCTGTGAGGTCGTAAGGTGCCATCTGCAGGGTGTGTGGTGCCTATCACAAGCACAGTTACAGCAGAAATCCATTTCATCGCCTACTTAGTTGTTAAAAATCTTATACTGAAATCTTTTCAACCCTCAGGAAGTTTGTGGAATCCAAGTATAACTCTGTAAAATAGAGACAGAATTAGAAGTGAATTTTACAACAAGCAGTCTTGGGCTTGAATATTTAATACTGCTTTATGAGCATCCAAAGTATGAAGTACTACTTGAAAAAAATGTGGAAGCAAAGGTAATTTTCTGTTAAATCATAATAAATTGAAAGCGTAGTTCTCTGAGTTCTCTCCAAGTTCTCTTTCTGTATTAGCACAGCAGGAGGCATATGCTTCCACTGAAGTCAAATCAGCAGAGCTGGCCAACAAACACTGAGGAGATGGTCTAGAAGAACTGTGGTTGCTTTCAGAAGAGTTCTGCTCTGCTGTTACGATATGTTGTTTTACTTTTTTAGATGATATTCTTTATTTTTAAGAATGTTTTTAAACAATATTATTTTTTCAGAGTGAGATTAATCAATGAACATGAAAACATAAGAAAATATATAGAAACTAGTTAATTAGGCTTAACTAACATGAAACGCACCTTGCTTGTAATTCCTACTAAGATATTCACCCTGGTTTGTTATATTAGACTAGTGAATTTAAAGATAAATACATGAACTATCTATAATTCTTATGTTAAGAATATATACTAGTTTTAAAGCCTATTAAATGCAATTGGAAATGCAATTGAATATTAAATGTGATTTAACTTAGTAATGACTCCTTTTGTGGTAAATGTCTTTGACTTTTTTTTCTCCCTCCCACACTTTTCTTCAGGATTTCATTTCATGAGTAGATAAATGAAACTAGAATTTATGTGAGGATACCAGGGAGTGATGAAAGCACTGATATTTTTATAGAGGTAAGTAACATTTTTTTATTCAGTGAAAAGAGTATTTGCTTTAATATAGTTAATTGACGTGAAGAGTTATACTAATTCTGACTAACAAACAAGACACAAGCATAGCACTATTTAGCTCTTAATTTTTTTCTTCTTTTTTTTTTTTTCCACTTTTGAATTGGTAGATATCAAGCCTCATCTCATGGTGGTAATTTAAGTCTATATTGTTCTGTAGAGTGTCCCTGCAGTATAAAGTTTAAGCAAACATACCTGACATGTTTACACTGAATTTTCTTAGATTCTTACTTATCTCATGAATCTCTCTTCATTTTTGTTATTTGTATCAGTTGTAAGGAAACTATCTTTCAAGAAAACCTGATAACAGTTTTAGGCAACACAGTACTCCTCTCAGGAGTCCAAACCGTAGTACAGAAGGAAATACATGAAAGGAATTAATCTGTGCTGAAATCCCATTTAACTGTGTATTGGAATTATTCTACTTCCCCCACCCCCTCACCCCCAATAATTCCTTACTTTGCTGAGTGTGGACATGACTGCCCAAGGCCTACAGAAAACCTAACAAACTGTATGCAGATGAAAGCCAATGGTTAGTTGAGTATTTATCATTCTTGAGTCAATATTCAATGCAAACTAAACAGAAACTGGTCGATGTTTTCTGTTCCATTATGTACTGTGTATATTCAGAAGATTTTCCCCTGCATGTTTGCAAAAATATGGGAAAATAAATGTTTTGGTAGACAGATATTTGAATGTCAAAATCATGTTAAAAAGCAGATAACTCTGGTCTTAGATGACTTTATGGACACTGGCCTTGGCAAATTTTGCCTTTCATCTTCCCCTTAAAAGTTGAATTTCTATGCTTAACACAGCAATGCCACAGTTCAGGAATTAGTTATTTTGTAACCATGGCTCATGGTAAAACTTTAAACAAAAGGGAAGAGAGGAGGGTAACTGATGAGATGTCAGGCTGTGGGAGGAGGTACGTTCCAGAAACACGGGAGGAACTTGGAGGGAGCAGATTCAGACTGATATGCCTCATTTCTTTCAAAGTAGGGAAGAAAATTAAGTAACTTAGTCAACAGCTCTGTAGTTCTTAACGTGATTATTAGCCCTTTTGCATTACCTTTTGGCACAATTTCTCTTCCATGTACAGACATTGGAAATGCTCATTCCAGTAATTCATTAACTGAAGACAGCTTTTTCGGCTGTGCAAGATTTGTTTCAAAGTGGTTGTTCTTTCTCTTTCAGAGACCCTCCCAATCAATTCAGTTGGAAGATTTGTGTGTTTTCTCCTTGCTGCTCTACTTGCAATACTATGTATTATTGCTGCGGTAGCTTGTGTCATCACAGGCAGAGGTACGAGTTCTCACTTTTTTGAACTTTAGTATTTCTGTAATTCCTTTTCTTCAAGCTTTTCTGCAAGCATCCTTTTAGATGAGGAGAGATCATATGAAAGAGACTACCTTTTAGGTATCATTGTAATAGAAACTCTCTCAAGTGTTTTTAGTAAACTCCAGATGTGTCTATGTTAGTATTTTAGTTTAAATCAGTATTGTGCTTTTGAAGGGAATCGCCCACCAGCCTCGCTACGGTTTGGTTCATATTGCAGGGTGGTTGAGCAGTGCAGCCTTGATTCTCTCAGACGAAATTTAACTGGAAGATGTGCCCTAATCAATACAACATAGTCCAACCACTAATGGGCATGCAGGCTGCAGGACTGGCCTAGGGCTAGGCTGCAGTAACCCCTGAAATACTTAGTGCAGAAGTCTGTTCCTTGGCCCCAATTGTTTCGCTCTGTAGTCTCTGCCATTCTACCACACTACCTACTAATGTAGGCCTAGCCTTTTTCCTTCCATTGTTTTTTTTTTTCCTAACAAGAGAGTACATACTTAATCTCTTAAACATTTGTAAAACCAGTGAATTACTTAGTGTGGAGAATTTTTGGTTTGCTCTTTATTCTTTAGCAAACGTCAACTGGGGTCATGCAAGCATTTTGCTGTTTAATTTTTGTTTGCTTAGCACTTTTTTTCACAGTATTAGTTCTGCAGAATGACTAACAGATTAAGTACCATGCCTCTGCTACCCTGTCCTCATCAGTCTGTAATGCAAAGCTGCTCCCTTGGTGTAGTAGACCTTAAACTGTTCTACCTACTGAACACTCTTTTGCTAAATTATCTTCAACATTCTTGGAGAGATGAAGTGCAGATAAATTGTCTAAGTTGGATCTTCCCATCATGAAGATGGGAATCTGAGTGCTAAATTCTAATTTTAGTTCACTATTTTCGCTTTTCATTCTTTTATATAAAGGTATCTATTTTTTTCTAGGAAAAAGTAAGAGGCACAGAGTCAACCCCTCCATACCACTTTAGAATGCCATTCACATTTTACATTGTTTCTAGAAATCCTGACATTTTAAGAGAGCATATGGTGTCTTTTGTTAAACAGATTCATTTAGGAGGTGATTCTTCTATCAGGTACAGCTACAACTACGTGTTAAAGTACTGGTTATATATCCAGAAGAAGTGAGTTTTCATCACACTGTCCTTTCTTTTGCTGAACTCTTGCGTGAGGGCTGCCAGACTGATGTTATTCTAGACATGTGGAAGAAAAGAAGAATTGCTGAAAAAGGTTCTGTACAATGGCTTGCTGCTCAAAAAGCAGCAGCAGATAAGGTGATTTTCCTCGGTTCAAACCCTACCACTGCTGCATGTGATGTTTCTTGTAAAAGCATGAGAAACCACAATAACATAGAAAATATGTTCACTCTTGCAGTTAACCTCTCTTGCAGTGAAATGACAAATCAGTCCTCTGTACAAAAATATAGCTTCGTTTCTTCCAACGAGGTGAGTTCACAAGACACTTTACCAAGCGCTCTGAACTTCTGTGCAAAATACGGTTTTATGAATGACGTTGAGACCTTCTGCAGAGACCTTTCTGTTTCATGCAATGATGTGCATGGCAAGAAACAGGAAATTAACACGTGTCTGGATACTGAGCGTTAGTCTTCCAAAACTGAGGACAACACTGTAGCTACTGTGCCCTATTTAAGACAAGCTTACTTATTTGAAATAAATCCTGAACAAAACATTTCTAAGTTGTGGCAAACTAAGAAGTGACTTGCATAATAAGAAATGAGATGATAAGAAATTTGTGCTCCAATAAAGCTATCAGTCAGAAGTAATTGGTTGTGTAAATACCAGAACACAGTCCAAGTAATTTACAAGTACTACTCTCCTCTGTGTAGAGTTTATGAAGTTCTCTGATGGGAGCCTCAGGTGCAGTTAAGCAGCACAGATCTTCCAACATGACTTAAAGGCTGGTTTTGTGATTCTGTTACTTTGTCGAGTTATGGTGTGCATTTACAGCATGCTTGATATGCTGTTGTAAGAATAATTGTAGCTTTTAAAGTGCAGTAATTTACCTCACCCTTCAGTGTGTCCAAGTGTCAGCACCCACTGATGTGAAGTTGTGAAATGTTTGCCATGGAGAACCATTTGTGTATCAACAAATCTAACCAAGATCTTTGTACATATGTACTCTCTCTTCTGTATCACAATTATGTGACTTAAAAAAAAATACATTTCTTCTATAACAGGAATTCTGGACCCTTTTCTTAACGGGATTGCCCCTTTCTCTCCCCAAAAAAACAAACCCAGCAACGATATCTAATCTTGCCAGAGTAAAATTTGAAGTAGTGCATGCCATCTTCAATAAAAGAGAGCCCAAAGGTCCTAGTCTTAAGTAAAATGCAAGAATGCAATCGCAGCCTGCAATAAAATACTTTCAAATAAGATTACAGTATAATTTGGGTGGAAATATCCTTTCTCTTTAAAACTTTTAATGAAAGCAGATTAAAAGGAAGTCAGGTCTTTCTCAAGTGCTTTGTAGAAACTACATTCATTGATCTTTGATATTTATTATATTGTTAGAAGTGTTTTAATAATTTTAATCTAGATTGTAATTGCAGATATGTATTTGAGGTGCGACCTGAGGGTGGCAGGAGCCTTCATTACAGAAGAAAAAAACCCAACAAATAGCACTTTTGTAACTAAGGATTGGTTTTTGGTAAAAAAAGTCCATGTGCCTGTACCACAGGATTGAGGCTGGTGCTGGTTATATAAAAATGCATCTAGTTCTTTTTAGTGTATTCTATTGGTTTTCTTAAATAGGGAAAAGAGTGGATAACTATCATGCATAATGAAAAGCTAGCAAGAGAGCTTTTGATGATGAGAACAGGTAAGAAAAAATACTCCACTTTCAAATTCTTAAGTCTGAATATATAATTTATTATATAAGCAAAATACCAACAACAACTGTAGTTTGGGTTCTCCATTTCACTTCTTCCATGATGATTGCTTACATAACAATTTCATCTCCTGGTAACATTAGAGTATGAATCAAAATAAGGCATTAAACCCACAGCCTGCACTCTTCAGCTATTGCTTCTGTGTACAGGTATCTGGAATGAATCTTAGCTTAACATCTGCCACATCAATATTTTATACCTCGAATTCCCACACTGTGCAATTTTAATATACATAATCTATATAATATTAATATAGTGAATTTGGAGATGACTGTGATACTCTGTACACAGAATTCAATGCACACAATTCAAAAGATGAAGTATAGCGATGCTGAAGACCACTTCTGGAAAAACCTCAGTTGAAGTTAGTTTTAATAAAATACAAAAATATCTATCAGCAGAAGATCAATACATCTGCACTGGAAAAAGGGGACATTTGGGGAAAGGAATCCTCAATTAATCATGTTCCACTGTAAACGTATCTATTACCATACAAATGCAGCTCGCTCTCGTAACATTCTGACACCAAAACGCTGCCATTCTCGCTGATATATCCATAGCTCCTGAGTTGTATCAAGACAGGCTAAAACTGCACCTCCTTTCCATGCAATTAAGCGGGGATCCATATCCTAAATTCAAAACACAGATCGTACACAATCACTGGTGTAAATTTGCATAGTTCTCAAAATTTTTATCCTAATTTTTCCAACAGTATTGACCACTTGGAATCTCGGGGGTTGAGGGGAGGAGAAAATAAGTTTTTCAAAATTACTCAGGAAAAAGTAGTGAGATAAAAATATGGAAAGAATACCTAAGGGGTTTAGAGAAGTCACTTTTTTTTTTTTTTAAGATGCCTTCTTAGGCACGTCATGTCAAGGTGAAAGCTCTCCTAAATCTCCTCAGATATGGAACTAATTTGTGGTTTTGAAAGAATATATATTTTTTTTCACCTTCTGAAGATTTCAACCCATCATTGTTTATTAACCATTTAGCTACCAGTTAACAGTATACCTTAGGTCTTGTGATGACTTCAACATTTTCAACGACTCTTCTAAAAGAAGGTGGCATTTTGTTGAGAATTCGGTGTTGAAGAAACTCTTGAGCTTTATGAAACATAAGGCCTCCTCCCACTACTAAGATGGAGCTGTACATCTTCTTTTTCGTATCATCAGATGCTGGAATGAATGGATACATAGACATATATCTGTGTTTTAAAATTAATACAGCCTGTATTTGTATTATAAAAAATTTAGTGCAAGTCAAACCAGATAGAAACCGGTGTTCGCTTTTAAAAGTCTTTTTCTATTCCTTGAATATTCAAAATGTCTAGCTCAAGAAACCTCCACAAAGATGCAAGTATAAGGAACAGTATAGCTACTCTAGAGATGATGCACACTTAGGGACATGGGTGTTAGTTTGGTAAAATATCAGAGTTACCATAAATCCACACTGACATGCATATTTTACGGAATTGTACAAATGTAATTCTTACCGCAGCAGTCAATACTATGAAGAATAGCTTTGTCAAGGCCTAAGGCTTTGCCTTCAAACTGAGAAATAGCGGTTTTCCTGGACATGTGTGCAGTTAAAGGTTCCTCTGAATCATTTCCAGATATCATACAATCACTCTGGGAAGATCCCAGTTCCACTTCTTGTGGGTAGATCCTCTCTGAAATGTCTGAGGCTTGGCCTCTCAAGTCTCCCTCAAACGCACCAGGCTTCGACATAGATTTTCTATCAGCTGTAGCTTTTGCAGACTTAAAAATGAGAAAACAAGTTGAACTATGAAAAAATACAAAAATATCTTCAGCAGGTTACAGAACAATACAAAGACTTAAGTAAACACCACTGTACTTCTTGCCACCTTTTTGCACAGAAAGGCTATTGTATTATTTCGTTTTAATCCTCACTTTCAAAGTAAGGGTTTTACTTTGAACTCCATCAGATGTATAATCATCAGTGCCATAATATGAAGCCCTCTTGGACTCTGAAAATAAACAGTTCTAATTAAGGACTTGTCTAGACATCCATAATTCCTTACTCTAAATTTATTTTTTAATGCTTCTGGCCCAGATAACAAACTTTGGTTTCTGAGATGAGCTGATGAGTCCTGACTTTATTCCCCAATTAAATAATACTTAATGAAAATATAAATGAGCATTCACACACCTGCTCCTGCTTACTTTGTGTGGCTAGTAGATAATGTTCATCATGAGGATCCTCAGGGTCACCTTGTGACCTGTGTTGCAAAGTTGTCATTTTTTGTCCAACAATTCCAAAAGTCGCTGGATAAAACAGAGCCATTGGAGCCTGAAGAATGAGGGATTTGACATGGTTTTACTACATGGTTTTGGGGTTTTTTTGGTATTTACTATAAAAAAAAGAAAAAGCTTGTTCTATTTTTCTCACAATTGAAAATTAAATACACGTTTTTCAAATAGTTTTGTAAAAGGCTAAACTGTCTTCAGCTTTGTATAATTAAGAATAACCCAAAACATACCATTGTACACATATATAGGTTTCTTTACTGATTGTGGCATTGTATGATAAATAAGTATTCAAATGCAGTTTGTTACAAAATTAGAAAATTCAACGGTGAGGTGAAAAACTTGCAAAATTAGCATTCATTCCTTGCCCTTGAAGGATAAATATCATCATATTTAGTTGAAGCTACAACCATTCTGGCTAAAGCTAGTTAGGAAGTCTTGCACATCCACTAGTGCTGCATTAGGTTCATTCACACATATAGGAACTAAGTTTAAAACTATCAACAAGCATATATTAAGAACAATCTATAAATCATGTGGGCTTTGTAGCACTGGACTGATATGAAGGAAGGCCCTGAGCCTGAATGCTGAATATAATTCTTGTAATTAAAAAAAAAAAAAAAATCACCTGTAATTTTTCATCTCCTAATCGGAACTGGTATAATAAAGCTGGAGAATCCGGATGACGAATTTGGAACTCATGGTCTTGCAATCCAGAAATATCCTAAGGTCAAAAACAATGTAAAAAAAATTGTATCATTTATATCTCTCTATCAAGCTGCATGACCTATTTAAACTGTAGGAAACAACAAAAAGTAACAAAACTCTTCAGACAGTGAATTTCACGTACCTATTCTTGAACTCTTTCTAAAGTCTTTTCTTTGTAGCACAATCTGCTAAAACAGCTTTCTACGTGCCTAAGCCTCTAAAATGAGGGTTTGTGCAGAAAGAAGAGACCTGCTGGCAGATCTTACAAACCTGGAGTTGAAAAACAGCAAATACGCAGCTACTATCAGCTTCTTTCAGTAATAAGAACAAAGAAACTACCTTTCTAAGAGTTGGGATGCTTTCAACTAGATGAAAAATAAAACAAGTTACAAATACTTAAAGTCTAAAGCTTCTCCAGCTTTTGCCAGTATTCTACTGAGTAAAATACTACATTTTATTCCATTTACAAGCAATTGTAGAGTTGCAAAAGGGTTCCCCAGAGTAGTATTCTGTAAAGGAAAAAAAAACACAAACTTGGAGAATATACCGTTTTCCCTTCTCACCTGGTCTAGATGACAAAATGTCTCCTTTAAGTGCTGAAGCAGCAGGCAATCCAACTTATTAGTTAACTGACAGTCTCTATATGGGAATCCTGCTCGTTGCATAAGCCAATAAAAACACCTTGATACATCAGATCCTCCATATGCAAGGCACAGTCTAA